ATATGATGCTACAAAATGAAAAAAATAATTCAACTTACAAAAAATAGGTATTCATATCTATCCTAAACTAAACTAACCTAAACTTACCTAACCTAATCCAACCCAACCCAACCACCCCAACCAGCCCAGCCCAGCCCAACCCAGCCCAGCCCAGCCCAGCCCAGCCCAGCCCAGCCCAGCCCAGCCCAGCCCAACCCAACCCAAAACCTACAGTCTAAAACCTAGAGCTAAAACCTGCAGCCCAAACTGGAAAACATCCATATGGTACGCCGGACGCCCGTGAAGCCGTCATGCGCCGAAGTTCGGCGCAAGCTATTTTGCAATTTGCGCTGAAATTTCTGCATTATTTGCGCCGAAGGTTAGTGCCCTTTTGCGTCAAAATTAAGCCACTTATACAAAAAGCACGTTTACATCTGCTGGCCAAGGTTTTATAAACCAGACAGAACGCTCTGGGCCTTAACCACTCCTGACTCCCATGTTTGAGCGTCCAAATTAGTTGATGTTTCCATGGAAGCTGAATACCACAATACGTGTAGCGCACTGTAGCATCGTGCCGTGAAATAAGGCTCGGGACGGAAGTTCCGGGGTCACAAAAATTGGTGTGGCGGTGTTGTCGCGGCTGGCGGGCTCCAGCAAGGGGTTTAAGTTTACGACACCACTCTTGTTTCAGGAGAGGTGTCAGCGATTCGAGACTACTTGGGCATGCGGGCAGCGGGGTCGGCGTGGCTGCCTGCGGCTGCGGCCACACATCTTGGCGTCCTGGAGGCGGAGATGCTGATGGTGGCATGAGTCATCACTGGCTGCCCGATTTCCATGCTCCAAGACTCGCCGTGAGGGCCGAGGCGGGCGTCGTGCCGATGGAGAGATGAGGAGGGATGCGCTGGCATCGCGCCTACTGGCGAAGGCGCTCTCCCTCCCGTCGGAGGACCCGCCGCGTCGTGGCGGAAGCCCCCCCCCCCCCCAACCGTGACTGAAGTCAGTGACCGGCTGGAGAGAGCGCGGGGGAGCGGTGTGGGACCACTGGAGTGGCGCTGCCCGCCGAGGCGCGCTTATCCACGAGACTGCCCCCGTAGACGCCAACAGACGGCGTCACGGTCCACCTGGACCTGCTGCCGATCGGGGCGTCCGCGACAGCGAGGAGGAGTGCTGCGGAGGCGTGACTGGGAGCGCTCCCCCAGCGTGCGACGTGGGCCTGGGTCGACGGGTCTGCGACCGGGGGAGTAATAGGAAGGCGGCGCTGGGGTCCTCACCGAGCACCCAGACAGTACAACATTGGTACTGCGGGAGGCGGCGGGGAGGATTTGCTCCATTTACCGATCTGAGATGGTGGCGCCCAAAACGGCAAAGCAACATCTCCTGAAGCACCCGTCCTTCGAGGAAGACCCCATAATCATTTGCTCCGACTCGCAGGCGTCGCTGGCGACGCCACGAGGTGGACAAGTGGCCCAGACACCCCCCCCCCCCTCATCCCCTAGGTGCCGCCATCTGGGAGTATATGATGGCCCTAGTGGCTGTAGGGGGCCGAAGAATCCACCATAGAAGGAGGGCGGCGATAGCCCGATTAAGCTGGGCGTCCAGTGGAGCCTCGGCTCTATCACGGGCATTGGGCAAGGACTCTGCGAGCACCCCCGTCTCCTCCATCTTCGACGGCACTCCAGTCAGAAAGCTGTCCCCACCCGAGTTTCCCAGCAGCATGGGCCACATGAAACCGAACAGCGCCGAGCCGCTCGACGCTGAGGACCAGGCGAGAGTAACAGTGAAAAGGTGAAACGCTCGAAACGGCGCGCGCCGCCGGCCGAGGGCGCCGAGCCGGCCCAGGCCGGCTGCGGGTCAAACAGAAGCCGTCTCCGCGGCGGCCGCCCAGTGACAGCGACTCGGACTGACGTCGAGGCACCGCTGCCGCCTCCGCCGACCAACCCGCCGCCCAGCAAGGGCAGTTTGAAGGCGGCTGCGCCGGTGAAGGTGGCGCGGCCTGGCAGGGGCCGCGGCCGGCCCACTCCCAGCTACCCGTCCCGCGAGGTGCTCAGTACCACCGACTCGTCCGATTCTGAGGCAGCGCCGTCGGCGGGCCGCCGCCAGCAGTGACGACGACCGGCTGGCGGCGTTCGCGCGGGACTTGTCCGACTCCTGGTACTCGGACTTGCCGCCCAAACTGGACGCCGGCGGCGTGAGCACCAGCAACGCCAATAAAAAGTCCACCTTCATCCGGCTCTTCTCGCACCGTGTCAAAAGGACTACGCCGCGCGGCCGGCCGGCCAACTCGAATGAGCGCAGCGAAGGGCACACGTCCCCGACGGCGGCACTGGCGCCTCCCGCCGCGCCGCTGCCGGCGTTGCTGGCAACGCCGATCCAGGCCCATCGATTTCTACTGTTTTGTTGCCTACGTGCCGCTGCCGCCGCTCAGCCAGCACAATGGCGTGCCGGTGTTGCGCTGTCGGATCGAAAAGCGGCTCGTGCAGCGGACGGACGGGTGCGGCCCGCGCGATGAGCCGCCGCCGCACACCGAGCTGCGCCGCGCGGACGTGAAGGTGGAGCTGGCAGCGGCCTGCTCAGTCCCCTCAACGGCGTCGACCGGCTCTCCGGCGATTTGCGGTCAGAAACGCCGCCGCTTCTGGGACCAAGGTGTCAGAGCGCGGCGCTGCCCGTGAGACGTTAAGTTAGCACAGGCAATGTCGTCTGCACTCCTTGCAGTTCATGTTGAATACACAACCATGTTGCGAAGTAATAGGCGCCGGGTTTTTCAGTTCATAGAACTTTTTCCCTGGCTATTACACCCCACAACCGAACACTGACACCTTGCACAAGTATGACTGTGTGTATGAATGTTAATAAATACATGAACCAATGTTGTGTTTTCGGTTCCAGTACCTTCTTTGGGCACCTCGGCAACAAGTAAGTAATCCGTTAGCTTTGCCACACCTAAGATAGGCTCCCACGTTGTTATTTGCTCCCGGGTTAACATAAACCGGTTTAACCCTCGCCCTGGCAGGGGGGGGTCGATGCGACCCCCCCCCTAAGGTTTTTCGAAGATAACGTAAAAACGGCGGCGCGCAGCGCCGCCAAATTTGGCACAGCCTATGGGGCAACCTTTTCACATATGACCTGAAAATTTCAGGTACGGGTGACCTTGGGTCAGGTCACCAGGTCAGAAAAACCGGTACAAGGTCATGGTCAAATTTCAATTTTCTTTTTGCACCTGTCCAGCTCACAGTTTTGGACTGATTTCCTTCAAACTTTCAGGGTGTGCTAAGTTCACCGAGTTGTATAACATATAGTTCGGGTTTTTTGAGGTCACTGACCTGAGGTCAGTTAGAGGTCATTACGTCGTAATGCTAAGCCTATGGGAAAATACTAAATTCGGAAAATACTGGAGATATCCGCTTCGTTCTATCACTTTTGTGCTTTGAAACCACAGTACTTAACAGCAGGTTACTTGGTGCTTCTTTGTTTGGTGTACTTATCCATGGGTCAGGTCAAATGAGGTCAACTGAGGTCAAATGACGTTTTTGCCAATAACTTGGCACATAATGACGCTAGAGCTTAAAAAATGGTGTCCTTGTGTTCCTGGTGATCAGCCGAATCGAATGATATGCAATATGATGCAATTTAGTTAACTTGAACTTAATTGATTAATTAAAGTTTACTTAAAAATTAAGAAAAACTTTAAGTACACTTAAGCAAACTAAAAAGTATATCATTCGACGCGCCTTGACGTGCTGAGTTCACTGGTGCTTTTCTTTTTGCTCTATCTTAATTAGATCAAAAGTTATAAGCGAAAAACTTTTGACCTGTTTTTAGCGAAATTTTTACATTTATACCCCCCAAAACCCCCCTAAATATTGACCTAGAGCAACCAAATTTGCACAGGGGCGAGAACTCCGGGGGGCCCACCTACCTACCAAATTTGGTGTTTCTAGGTGCCATAGGAGCCAATCGCGAGGGGGGGGGGTCGCATCGACCCCCCCCCCTGCCAGGCCGTGTTATGAAAAATGCCCTGCCAGGGCGAGGGTTAACGTAACTTTTGCATCCCGGCCAAAATTGCCGGTTAACTGTCCCACCGCTCGAGACTGGCGCTAGGCTGGCCGAGCAAAAAAAAAGTTTGTCCGCGGCTTCGTCTTATTCGCAGCTGCTGGACACGGGGGAGGGGGGAGGAGGGGCTGCATCGGACGAAAAGCGGGCTCTGGTATTAACTGGATTTTTTGCCAGCTGGCGCCGTATGGTGGCGCTAGCAGAGCTTCTTACATATCAATGCTAGATATAAAAGAATGAATATTTACCAATCAATTTTTCATTTAAAGCCATTTGAAATATTTATGTCCATCCTACTACCGCGCTTAGGTATATCTAAAATTAAATACCTTTCGTGCGTCGCCAGCTGGCCAGCAAGCTGACGCAATCCAGCTTTTACCAAAGCCCCGAAAAGCGATGACGTGAGCCCTAATATTGGCTTCACCACACAATTTGAGCCCTCAAACTGGAATCAGGTGAGCTCGAAAATGGGGATCAGGCTGAAAACTGGTATCATAGTGAGACTAGTTTTAGAGCTTGACACCGATAATGGGTACTGACTGAGCTCTGTTTCTGCGATCAATGATACCGATTTAAGGGATCGTATGAGCCCATGTGGCGCTAGCTCAGAAAGTATTCTCGAAATGTGCTGTCTGTTTTGAATATGGTACATTAGCCCGAAAACTGGTCTCTGAGCCCGAAAATCGGGACACTGTTTTCTCAGTGTATAAATGAACTCGAACTTAATACAACAATGAGACTTGAAAAATGATAGCATAAAATGAGAGAGGATAAAAAGGAAACTTTCGTTGCTTGGCTTTGTCTGCGTTAGTAGTGCATTATGAGCAACAGTAGTCATATTGTTTATTCAATTTATATAATGTGTAGCAAGCACGACGCACAGTGCAGCATACCATAACCACTACACAGTTCCACTAATCCACGATCTCTATATGACGTCACCAGACCAAAGTCTGACGTCACCGGTCAGTCTACTCACGGCATCCTTGCTCGTCAGACATGTGCGTTCTCTGGTCGGCAGGGCAGTCGACGGAGCCGTCGCAGATGTACTCCGACCCGACGCAGTGCAGCTCACCCAGGCCCGAGACGCACGGCCACGTTCGACGGCGGTTACACTGGACCACACCTGCAAGGCGCGAGAGGTCAGGTCAGGTTAGGTCAGGGAAGGGCAGGTTAAGGCAGCTGCCATTGGCCTGACCAAGGCCTGACCTAGGTCAGGCCAATGACGGGTCAATAGACCAGGCCTGCTGATCAGGTCAGGGCAGGTCAATGCCAGTTACGCTGAACAACGTTTGCCGGTCAGGTTAGGTCAGGTCAGGTCAGGTCAGGTCAGGTCAGGTCAGGTCAGGTCAGGTCAGGTCAGGTCAGGTCAGGTCAGGTCAGGTCAGGTCAGGTCCAGTCAATGACCGCTGCATCGGACCACGCCTGCAGGTCAACACAGGTCAGGTCAATGGCCGTTGCTCTGAACCGTGCCATACAATTAGGTGAGGTCAGTATATCCACTGGTCAAGCCAGGTCAAATCAAGTGAGAACACGGACAGACAGCTGACGGTTGCACCTATCAGTGGGTCAGTTCAGCTCAAAACTATTATACAGGGTGATCCAAAAAAATTAGAACCCCTAACTTAAAATGTCTGTAAGTCAGAAAATTTTCACTTTATTGATAAATTGCAAACACCATTAGAAAGAGCGTTCAATTCTCTATAAAACCAAGTTGATTGTACTTACTTATTGTTATTAATATTGCCCTAGACATATGCCTATAAAATTTGTGTCACGAAACTCAGTGAAACGAAACTCAGTGAAACGGTTTTGAGCATTATGCGCAAATCAGTGATTGACGGTTTGCTGTTCTGACCATGTCTCTTGTTGGAGGTTCATGAATAAAAATAGCTCATTCACGTGCTATTGTAAGGAAAGGAAAGACTGACGGCCTGCTGGGACCAGTTGTCCCAGAGACTGATGGCCCGCGCAGTCGGAGCTAGTGGTGTCAATTACAGAAAATCGGAATACCGATACCAAACCAAATACCAACCAAAACCGTGGGGAAATACCGAAACCAAACCAACTTGGGAAAATGGGGGAAATACCAACTTTTACCGATTTATTAGCCTCTTACACATTAGTGAGGGTTCATGATACCAACAAAATACCAAACACATTACAATTGAAATACCAAATACCAAGTTTGTATCGGTTTGGTATCGGTACACCAAAAAGTTGGTAGGTATCCGATTGACATCTGTAGCGGAGCTGTCCCCAAGCAACTGCAGGCCTGCGTCACGGCCCCCGGAGCTCGCGTTGAGCACATGCTGTGATGAACAGCGGAAGCTAGGACGCGTGTACCTGTTCTACTGTGTGCTTCTGTGTAAACTTTTATGAAATAAAATTGAATTTGGATGTGGTGTTATTCGCAAAAAGACAACAGATAACGCCGTCACGCCGTGTTAGAGTGCTAACGGATTTCAGCGCATTGTTAACATTTGGCGATTTCGTTTCACTCAGTTTTCTGTCGCTCATTCCAAAAGCTAATAGTGTGCCAATGCTTTACAACATACATGCACCAATTTGACGTGATTTTAAAGAGGATTTAATGCTCTTTCTAATGGTGTTCGCAATTTGTCAATAAAGTGAATACTTTCGGACGCATAGACATTTTAAGTTAAGGGTTCCAAATTTTTTGGATCACCCTGTATATGTATAAGCATTTACACCTGATTACCCTATACCTACGACGCAGGGTTATGTCAGCCCATGGCACCACTCATACCAATAGCATGCCTGCCGCACCTTGGTGCCATGTTAACGTGAGCCATATTGGCATTTTTGTACTGTTCCCGCCCCAGCGGCTAACCGCATCAAGATATACGGATTTGTTTTTGACTGGCATTTGTCTTTCAGGTGTCGCATATGTGTGCCTTGCCTCTGATAGCTGACTACTGTGCTTGGTAGCCACATTGACTGCACGCACGACCACTCACAATCCCGGACGAAGTGAGTCTCACTTATATCTCTTCGATAGGCACTACTGGCACTGGTTAGACAGCGCGATACTGTGTGATTGGATTACTTAATCAGCCAGTCTGGTATATTTAAACGAGCGGTGCTTAGAGTTTGAGTTCAGTTTCTGAGTAACCAACATGATCTGTTCGCTCGTTCATGTGCTACCCCCTACTGCGGCGATTGGTTATGTGCCGGATGTGTTACACCTTTCGTCCGTTGTCCCCACAGTTATAACGGTCATCACGGTCTGCGACTGCTGTGGGCCCACCGACTACAAGCCCTGATCACAATAAATCTTGTAGAACTCTGCCCTGGTAGTTTTTTCCTGTTGGCCGGATCAGTTATAATTCTTCTACCTGTTGTGAGGTGGTGGTGTTGCCCATCAGTAGAGTGGTGACACAGTAGATTGATGTTCACGGCCAGTAGAGATGATCCTCACATTTGATCCTAACCTGAGGGCTGTCTAGCCTGACATCGTGTCACTCATTCTTCATTATCTGGAGACCTATTTGTAGTTGGAAAGGCAGTTGTCTACTAACGATTCAGGTGCAGTGGAGTGTAGACCTCAACTAACTCCCAGTCCCCCTGAACTATACGATTATGGACAGTGAAGAGAACCAGGAACAGACATCTGCAAGTAGACGACAGGTGCGCCTGACTGAGGCAGGAAGAGAACACCAGAAGGAGATGAAGACGAAGGTGTTCAAGAGACAGCTCAAGGAGCTGAAAAGGCACACTGAGAAGATGGTGGAAGACGATGGCACTATCGCCCCAGACTTGGGAAAACCAGAACTGAAGGAGTGGACCCATTGCTATGTGAATCTTCTTCAGACTCTGTCAGACCTGAGAATCCTGCTGCCATCAGACGAGGTCGCCCTCCTTCAGAGAGACATTGAACAGTTTCAAGCACTCAACTTGCAGATGCAAGAAGCCCTGGAGAAACTGAGGAGCACAGAAGCCCGAGCTCCGTCGGTGACCGGTCGCAGTGGGAACTCTCGGACATCGACATCGGTTGCTTCTGTTCGAGCCTCCTTGAAGATCCTGCAAATGCAAGACGAACATCAGAAAGCAGCCCTGCGAGCGAGACAAGCGGCTGTGCTGAGAAGACGAGAAATCGAACAAGAGAAACAGGCCATCAAGTGGAAAGAGGAGGATCTTGAACTGGAAGTGGAGCTCAGCACTGTGGAAGAGCAGAGTAAGGCACTGCACAAATTTGAGATGGAGTTGGAAGACGGAAAGACCTACAGACTACCTGCGGAGAATGACGTGACAGCTCCAGCGGAGTCAATCCAAGTAGGACCTGTTCGAAGTGCAGGTGCTCCCGTGACAACCAGCGAAGTTCGCGGCGATATATCTTCCTCTCAGCGCGCCAGCGTTTCGCTCAGCGTGGCAGATGCCGGAGCAGCGCCTCTGTCATCTGCGCAGGGCGGCAGCGCTCACATCAGCGTAGCTGACGGGCTTGAATCAACTACACTTCATCATGGGCTGAACCCTGGCGCACGTATCTTCAGGCCCAGCGCGATGATAGAGCCAGAGGAGCAGCTAAATGTAGAACGTAGCTCCGGGACGCTAGCTGCGGGACCCACTAACTTATCAGATCTGTTCGCAGAGCAGCGAAGAGGCCAGCTTCCAGCGCTGGAACCGGAGGTCTTCCAGGGAAGCGTCGAGAGGTTTCATCCCTGGGTGAAGGCCTTCGAGAGCTTCATCGAGAGCAGAACGTCATCGGCGACAGAACGACTGCACTACCTCTCCAGGTACACCGGAGGAGAAGCGAGAACAGTGATTGAAGGATTTCTTCTCCTTAGGTCAGCAGACGCGTACAATCAAGCGAAGAAGAAGCTGTACGACCGCTACGGAAATGACTTCATCGTCTCACGCACGTACCGCAAGAAGCTGAAGGAGTGGCCACCGGTGCGCGCTGGTGATGGGAGCGGTCTAAGACGATTGGCGGACTACCTGGATAGCTGCCTCGCGGTCTCACATCACGTATCGGGTCTCGAATCTCTTAACGACTGCAACCAGAACAACGAGATCCTGCGGAAACTGCCTAAACACATCGTGGACAAGTGGAGGCGTGTCGTCGACAAGAGACTGTTCGAGCCTGACGCGGGGGCTCAACCGGGCTACCCGCCGTTCGAAGAGTTTGTGAGTTTCCTGAACAGGGAGGCTAGGATCGCCTGTGGACCGGTCGACGGCACACCAGATGTATTTTCGACTTCGGGTCGAGACACACCAGCCAGAGGTCGTGTCAGCCGCAAGGAAAGCGCTCACACCTTCATTTCTTTGGCAGCATCAGATGAACCTGCTGACGCCCCGAAGCACCGAACTCCACCGTCAGCGAAGCCACGGCCTCCTTGGCCATGCAAGATCTGTGGACAGCAGCACTCGATCGAGACATGCAAGGACTTCAAAGCCATGACATCAGAAGAGAGGCACGAGGCGGTCAAGCGGCATGGACTCTGTAGAGGCTGTCTCCGCCACGGTCACATTTGGAAGGAATGCCGAAGCAGGAGAAGATGTGAGAAGTGTGGTTACTCTCACCCAACGCTGTTGCACAGCGACTCAAGAGAGAAGAACACGGCGTCGACTCCGGTGAAGAGGCCAGCAGGCTCAAGCGACGGCACTCCGGAAACTCGTGCAACCACATTCAAGGTGGCGGTTGAGGGCGATTGTCAGAAATCAGCCTGTCTTCACACCATGATTGTTCCCGTCATTCTTCGAAGCGAGGACGACCCTAATCGACAGGCAATCGTCTACGCAGTTCTTGACCCGCAGTCAGATGCGTGTTTCATGACCGAAACAACGCTGCAGAAAGTTGGAGGCAGAGGAGAGAAGATTGCGCTTCAACTCAGCACCATGGCTGGAAAGGCAACGGTGGACAGCCTCAGAGTGACGGGACTTTCGGTCCAAGGGCTCACGACCACCGACCGCATCAACCTTCCAGCCACCTACACACGGGTCGAGATACCAGCGGAGAGACACCTCATCCCTCGAACAACCACGCTGCAAAAGTGGAAGCATCTCGAGCATCTGATGGAAGATCTTCCTCCTCACCTACCGGATGCAGACATCGGACTACTTATCGGTATGAACTGCCCCCGCGCAGTGAAGCCGAGAGAGATT